TTGTGTCAATATGAGCTTGGAGAAGCAAGTGCTTGAACTCATCACCCGAAACCTCCTAGACTTCTAGGGACTCCTTCCTGCCTCGGAGTCTTCAAGAGTCTTCTTGCTCCCTTCCTGTGAGAAGGTGATGCCCTGCTTTCACAGGAACACCTAGGTTCTCTGTGTCCAGCAATTGAACTCCTGACCCTGTTTCACCAGCTTGCTCCTACAAATTCATCAGCACCACGAATTTCCTCCCCCTTCCCTCCCTCCCTCCCTCCCTTCCGGTAAGCATCCCACCAGAGAGACGGCCAGTCGGCGTCTGGGGTGGGTGGACAGGTGGAGGCCTTCTTCCGCGGGGACGCCAGGCTCCCCTGGGCCCAGCCTACCTGAGTCTACGCTCCACGCTCTGTCTGTCAGACAGAGACAGACAGACAGACAGGAAGCCCCCAAACCACTCAACCACCACAGATAAATGCCAAGGCCCGGCATATACAGCTGCTTAATCTGTACCAGGTTCCCAACCCCCATCTCATCTGTTTCTCTCCTGGGGTAGAAAGGAACGGTGGTCTTTATACAAGGAATATATAAACCAGCTCTCAACTGAGAAGAGAACTTTGCCCCTGAGCCCCAAATTGCTGACTCCCCCAAATCCATTGGAACGTCCTGAACAAAACTAGACCAAACTCCCCAACACCACCACTTTTACCCAAAATCCCTCTTCCCAAGAGGAGTTAGAAACCCCCTCACAGGCCATACCATTCCCACGGATATGGGGGGGGGGAGGCCCAGCGCTCTGTCCTCGGCCTCCACCAGCTGCTCCTCTCCAGTTCTTCCACAGGCAGGCATTGCTTCATTTGGAAACAGAAGCAAGAGAGGGTCAGGCCTGCCAATTTAATGCAGGCCACCCCACCCGGAACTCCTCTCCCTCACCCCAGCCCCCTTGCCAGCTGCGCTGGGTGGGAGGGAGAATTAGAGGCACTTTTAAAAAGACGCGTCCGCCAGCCGCAGCACCTGTGTCCTCCTCCACCCCCCCACCCGCCTGCTTTTTCCTCCCATGCCAGGTACAGGAAGCCAGCCGCTGAGTTAGTTTGGACGGAACCAGCTAGCCAAGTTAACCCAGCTGCGCCCTCCTGTACCCTGGGGAAGACGGCCCCTCTGGCATCCACGCCAGTCAAGGCTCTCCCCCATGGAAGGGACCCAACCCTTGCCAATCACACTTGGATTTGAAGTCCCCATACCTTCTT